CCAAACATTACTATGGATCTTTTTCTGAACGTTTTAAAGGCACCAAACATTACTATAGATCTTTTTCTGAACGTTTTAAAGGCACCAAACATTACTATAGATCTTTTTCTGAACGTTTTAAAGGCACCAAACATTACTACAGATCTTTTTCTGAACATTTTAAAGGCACCAAACATTACTATAGATCTTTTTCTGAACATTTTAAAGGCACCCTGCTTGACAAAAAAAAACAGCGGCCCAGGTGATCTCTTGTAGTATGCATGCACACTTTACAAATTTTATAAAATTTTGAATGCACCAAATTTGAAAGAAATCTTTTAAACGGAAGTGTTTTTTGTTGTTGTTGTTTGTTTTTTTTTTCAATGGTGCGAAGGAGAAAAAATTAAGAATTTCAGGCTATGTTTGATCTGTTCTAATACGTTAAGGATTAAAAGAGATTTCCTTGAAATTTGGAATGTAAGGCAAGGAGACCTGGGAGAGTTTTAATTAACCTGGGCTATTATATGGATGATTTATAAAACACCAAAGTTTTCATTCGTGTTAATAACACATTGGGTGTCGTGCGGTTTTGTTTTGGGTCGTACGATACATTACTGTGTGTCTTGATATTGTTACGTCTCTGGTCGTTGGTTAATTTCCCGTAGAAATTATTTCCGAAAAACTTCAGCGACACAAGTCCTTTCTTAAATAAAACTAGTTTATTCTTTCTCAATACAACTTTGCAATACGCAGAATTTCCACCGTCACTTTAACTTAAACACACGCTATAATTCACAACGATTCACGCGCTTTACTTACGGTCAGTACCGCTCACTTGACTCAATTTCCGCTTTATTTGCCGAGCTTATATATACAAAAATAGAGGGCGTCTGGCAAACACTCGAACCTTTATGATCCTTCTAGAAACTCATCACGTGTTACCAGCGTAACGTGACTTCTGCTGTCGTAACAATATATACATTGGATTTCCAATGTGCATGGGAACATAGAAGTCAAATTACTGTAAGTATCGCGTTTTAAGCGTTGGGAGAGTAAAATGGCATTTTACATAAATTAAAATAAAACGTATCGTAATATTTAGCACAGTAATTGTGCAAACGTTATAATAGTTTTTTTTGGGGGGGGGCGGCAAGGCCAGGTGGTTAGGGGCGCTCGACTTGCAATCTCATGGTCGCGGGTTCGAATCCCCGTCCCACCAAACATGCTCGCCCTTTCACTGCTAAATTAGGGATGGCTAGCGCAGATAGCCCTAGTGTAGCTTTGCGCGAAATTCAAACAAACATTCATTTGCTATTGGTCCGATAAGATCGATTCTAGGTTACCGTATTTAAAGAAAGCTATCTATCCGACTCGACGTGTATACAACCCTAAGCAACTTTGTACGTGCGGGGCGCCAAAAGAACCATGGAAGTAACCTTAATCCTCTTGACCTTGTGCTATTGAAAAAAAAAAAAAAACTCTGGTTTTGATATACACGTCTCCTTCCCTACCCTCAGTACAAACGCTGTACTAGACCTTGATAATTTCTCAAGTACCAATTTTTGAATATTTAAAGACTTGTATTCACCATTGAATGTATACGTACAACATGAATTACAAACATGTAATGGTGGTGTTTATATATTATATTTGCGTGGTCTTTACATTCCAAGGTCACGGACAGTGGACATCAACAAGGTTTAAAGGAAATAAACTGACGCCATACTTAAAAGACTCTTTTTTTTGTTTTTATAAAATAAAAACTTTTACAGTGTTTGTTAGGAGGAAGAGACTTGATCACAGAGGGAGATTGCAGCACATAACCATACTTTTCAAAAGATTTAGGTGGCCCCGAAACCTTATAGGGCATTCCCCTTGTTTGATGTCTGACTGTGGTACGTTTGTTCTTGGGAGTTTTCTTGAAACCTTATAGGGCATTCCTCTTGTTTGATGTCTGAATGTGGTACGTTTGTTCTTGGGAGTTTTCTTGAAACCTTATAGGGCATTCCTCTTGTTTGATGTCTGACTGTGGTACGTTTGTTCTTGGGAGTTTTCTTGAAACCTTATAGGGCATTCCTCTTGTTTGATGTCTGACTGTGGTACATTTGTTCTTGGGAGTTTTCTCGAAACCTTGCTCAGAGGTCTGAGGAGAAGAACTGTCCAACTATAAACATCAGATCAAGATTTGTAAGTTAGTAATCAACACCTGTACTTATTAAAGATGTTAGTACTGGAACACTTCTCACTACTAGAACAAGGTTCATAGTTAATTAGTAATTAACACGTGTACTTATTAAAGATGTTAGTACTGGAACACTTCTCACTACTAGAACAAGGTTCATAGTTAATTAGTAATTAACACGTGTACTTATTAAAAATGTTGGTAATGGAACACTTCTCACTACTAGAACAAGGTTCATAGTTAATTAGTAATTAACACGTGTACTTATTAAAAATGTTGGTAATGGAACACATCTCCTTTCTAGAAGAAGTTTTATATTGCTATTTGTGATATTACTGCCAGGTGTTATATGTTTAAATTTAAATAATATTGTCGCTTTCTTAGTGCATCATTTCTATTGTGAGTTTATGTTAGGACTAAATCAGGTCTGTTGATTTTCACTTCTTTATCGATACATCAGTCGTAACCGTGATTCAGACACATTTTTTTTTTTCAGTAACAGAGTTATAAGCTAATTAGCTTGATATAAATTCCTGTCTAACTTCCAATATCCCGGCTTACAAAATGTACATCTAAATTGCTGTTAACGTTTCGGTATTCTGTTTCGTAGATGTGAAGTATATGGCACGTTGCGTAACAGAAATACCATCTAAGATATATGAATACATACATACATTTAGGTACTGTTGATAATATGGCGTTGGAAGATCATGCCCCTCCCTTGTTACCAAAGCCTTGTGGATTTTTCATTAAAGTACTTGAACGTGACCTTGGATTTCACGCCCCTTTCCCAAGGGGGGGGGGGAATCAACCTAGATTCCATCTTGTTAAGAAATACAGATCAGTTTACAGCTCACGATTTGACGAGTCTTCAGGTGAAGAAGATAATAAGTACCGAAACGGCCTTGGAAAATAAAAACAGGTGCATTTAATTTTACAACCAACATAATGATATAGTTTGTTGAATATTATGTATGGACATTGAAGTAGAATATTTAATTATATATATTTTTATCTTTAGTAGATCTAACCCTTGTTGTTTCTATCAGAATTATGTTTCACTACCAGAGACCCGCAAAACATTTCCGGCCAAATTAGTATCTTTATTGTAACAGTACTTCTTTAAATATAATATTTCTAGCACAATACAAACGAATTGTAATCGTAGACAAGGAAATGTGTAAATCCACTTGTATATAGGCCGTACTTTAACTTTAACTTATGTTAGGCCTAAGTTCGATAAAGAGATAAATTAACACTGTAATCTGTGTACGATTTTTTTTTTTACTTTAGTTTAGTTAGGACTAAACTTTACTGTACTTAATACAATCGAGTGCCCGGCATGG